CTGATCTGTGCTTTGTCAGCTTCTCTGTGGGTCCCTAGGTGACATTAGGGGTCTTAGAGACCCCTGATGTCTCCATAATGGGGCACCTGTCACTGTAATTTGTTATTACATAGGGTTGTCACCCTATGTGATAACAATAAGTTAAGTGTAAAAAAAGTTTTTTAAAAAAATGTGCTCACAAAATAAATAAAAATGTACACACACAAAACAAAAAAACCCCCCACAAAATTATTTTAAAGTCCCCCTCCCCCACATAGATGCGCAAATCACCCACCCGGTGCCCAGAACTACATGTCCCAGGCATCGGGAGATAGAAATTCCACAACCCTGCTGCCCCTCTACTCCCTGCTGCCCCGAGGCCGGGCCTTGGTTGACCTTGTGGGAAATCCGGCCCTGCACACGTGTGTGTTTGTACTTTTGTGTGCAATAGACTGGGAAAGCAGAACACTAACCTTTCACCATTCTATCCACAACTAAGAAAAAAAAAGTCATTGGTCACCAAGACAGGAAGTGTGAGAAAAAAAAACCTCATCATCAGAGACATAAACAGAAAAGAATGTATTAACACGAACCTTTGTTGAGCTCTGGGGCTGGTTTTGGTTTTGATTTTGGAATGGTTTTCTCTTTTACTATATAAAAAAAAAACATTTACTATGCAGAAAAAAGAATCGAGATTTGTTAATGTTGTCTTGCGTGGAATATTTGTACATAGAAACACACAACACATAAAAATATGCCTTCACACATAGAGCGTCATTTATTAAAGTCCTGCCCCGTGTATGGCTGGGCGGATGCTGCTCGCACTGCACTAGTGTCCCTCAATGGCTCTTATGAGTATAGGAACTTCCATTTCATTCCATCTAGGGGCGCTGTTGTTGTGCAAACAGAATCCACCCAGAGGAACTTCTATCAATGAAGCCCATATTCTGTACTTGGGGCCTTAGCAGGTTTAATAATGGAATGTGGTCCAAACCCTCCATTTCACGGTCCCTCTTTAGGCTCAGCTTTTTTGCTGCCAAAAAACTCTCTTATCTTCTTAACTTATAATCTAAAATCTGTGCAAAAAAAACAAACAAACATAAAAAGAATCAATGGGATGCAGTACCCCACAAATGGTTCATCTACAAACTAAGGTCTATTGGCATTAAAGCAATTGTATGCGCATGGGTGGAAAACTGGTTGCAGGACCGCATCCAGAGGGGTAGGGATCAATGGCTTCTTCTCAAATTGGATCAAGATAATGAGTGGCGTGCTACAGGGGTCAGTCCTGGTGCCCATTCTGTTCATCCTATTTATTAGGGATGCACCGATATATCGGCCGCAGAAACATATCGGCCGAAAATGGCACTTTTGGCTAAATGCCGAAAGTGCCATTTTCCTGCCGATACATCAGCCCATCCCTGCTTTCTTTCCTTCCCGCTGGGCGCTGCTCTGTGTCCCAGAGGGGAGGAGAGAAAGTGTCACAGGCGGCCGAGCGCTGCAGGAGGAGAGCGCTGTGAGTGGCCGGCGTCTCTCCTCCCACACCGCTCAGCCTCCTGTCACAGTATGGCACAGTGGTGTGTGGGCGGAAACAGCCCCCGCTGTCGCAGGAGGCTGAGCGCTCCTCCCTGCTCCACTCGCTCAGCCTCCTGTGACATCGTGTCAGAGAGGAGAGCGGGTACAAGTGATCGCTGAGTGTTTGTAGATAATTGAGGACAGAGTATGGTTGCTGTGTCCTCAATTATGAATGAATGGGAAGTGATCTAAGTATTAAAAATAAAATATTTAAAAAATTTGAACAAATTAAAATAAAAAAAAACATTTTTGGTTTCGGCCTGACAATTTTTTTTTATTTCGGTTTCTTTTAATTTCAATTTCGGTGCACCTCTACTATTTATAAATGGGAATAAATAGCTTGCTGTCAGCATTTGCTGATGATACAAAATGATGTATGGCATTAAGTTCACAGCAAGACATAGAGGGGGATTTATCAAATCTGGAGCAGACAACGTCTGGAGCAGCTGTGCATGGCAACCAATCAGCTTCTCTCTTTCATTTTCAAATCTTAACTGGACATACTGGAGAGAGCAGCTGATTGGTTGCCATGGGCAACTGCTCCAGATTTTGTCTGCTCCAGTTTTGATAAATCCCCCCCATAGTATCGCTGCGGCAAGACCTTGATAAAGTAAAAGAGTGGGCAGCGCAGTGAAAGACGAGTTTTAATCTAGAAAAATGTAAAGTTGCACTTGGGAGCTAAGAACATGTATGTGGAAACACCATTGGAGGGGTTCACCTGGGGAGATCAGAGACGGACTTGTAGATCACAGACTCGGCAATAGCAGGCAATGCCAGGCTGCAGCCAACAAAGCCAGCAGAATACCAATGTGTATTAAAAGAGGGATTTATTCAAGGGATAGAAACATAACTTTACCACTTTACAAAACAATGGTTAGGCCACATGTGGAGTATGCAGTTCAATTTTGGTCACCTATCCTTTGGCGGGATGTCCATAGGCTAGAGAAAGGGGGCCACTAGATAGAGCCGAGGAGCACAGGAAATTCCCATAAATACAATTCCTATAAATACTATTCCTATAAATATAAATCTGCGTCAGCCATATGCTGGGTGAAGGCCATTCACATGTCATTCCTGCCACTAGAGGGCGCCAATGAGCTCAGGAGGAAATTCCTTTGCCCCCCTGGCTCCATCTAGTGATGGGAATAGCGTGTGAACGGCATTCGCCCAGCATATGGCTGGGTGAAAGAATCATAAACAGACCCTCTGCTGTGTGGCTACATGTTTACAAGGCTGGCCATTAAAAGTTATAGGCAAATATGTAAGATGTCAGTGTCCTTGCTGTGTGCATAATCTGCTAATAGATAATAATAACTTACCTGATCTTGCATAAGAAGATTGAACAGTTGTTGCTAGTAGAACAACTAAAGCAATAGCCAATCGCAAAAGAAAATCCATAGTAGATATGGAGATCATTAAACGCACCCAGGAGTCAAATGCAGCGACATCATAAGGAATGTAAACAATAGCTGACCGGCTAGTGGGGGGCTACAGGCAAATGTAGCCAAGTCACATGACATACAGGAAGAGCATGACGTTAAAGGGGCAATGCCCCCAGAAAAGACGATCATTACAAAAATGATATACATGCATCGGAATATTATTCCATCAGCTACCCCACTGCCACCCATATAATGGACATCAGAGGCTGCTGATATGTTCTTGTATCAGTCACCTTTCTTTTTCCTTCTTTCTCTCTCTTGCTGGCAGTTGGTACCGTCATTTCCTTTCTTGCTGATTAGAACTTTTCGGTTAGTGTGCCGGGTGTGGGTTCGGGTCTGGGGAAGTTCAGACTGCTAATCTAAACTCCATTGAAGTGAATGGGAGGTGAATCTTAACCAGTTGACATCCGCGGTGTTAAACCCCCTTCCCATCCAGGCCATTTTTCAGTATTCAGCGCTGCGATACTTTAACTGACAATTCTGACCATTTTCAAGGCTAATAGGCAAGGGATTGTCATACAAAGGGCAAGGGGAGTTGGGCATTGGCCCGGGGACATTTACCAATTCCCAAAAAATGCCATTTGGCAAGGAGCAGTGATTTAAAGGAGAACTATGAGTTGAGTGCTTTTCACTCATCCTCATAGTTCTAGCCGATCTGTGACAATGAGACTGTCACAGGTCGGCTCAGTAGATCGGGAAGTGAGCGAACACATACTGGCGTTCGCTCACTTTTCGTTCCTGTCACGGCTCTCTGCCGTGACAGGGGAGGGGCTGGATTCCCCCCTCCCCACTCCGATCTGCCAGCGCTGACTGGCGGTACGGACGGGGAAGGGGCCTGGTACAGCTGGCCCTGCCTCTAGATAGGCAGAGCCAACTGTCACTCACGCAGCTGGGCGGATCCAGATATAATTGTCGGAATCCGCTTCAGCTGCGGCGTCTCAGTATACCGCGAGCAGTACCTCGTGGTATACTGAGCTTAGGGTGACGGGAGGACGCTAGTTTGTGTCCTCCCGTTACCTTAAGGAGAACTATGGGGAAAAGCCCTAACCCCATAGATCTCCTTTATTAGTTCTTAAAGGGCAACATGAGAAATGCAAAATTCCTTTAAAGGAGAACTATGGGGTCAGGGCTTTTCCCCATAGTTCCCCTAAGGGTCATGGGAGGACACAAACTAGCGTTCTCCCGTCACCCAAAGCTCAGTATACCGCAAGCTACAGCTCGCGGTATACTGAGATGCCGAGATGCTGTCAAGATCCACCCAGCTGCGGGATTGACAGCTGGCTCTACCTACCTAGAGGCATAGCCAGCTGTGCCCCCCTCCCCCGTCCGTTCCGCCAGTCAGCGCTGGAGGATCGGACAGGGGAGGGAGGGGATCCCTGCAGGGAGCCGTGAGTGACAGTCACGGCTCTCTGCACGGATAGATCAAGAAGTGAGCGAGCGACGGTATGTGTTCCCTCACTTCCCGATCTACTGAGCCGACCTGTGGCAGTTTCATTGTCACACGTCGTCTCGAACTATGAGGCTGAGTGAAAATCACTCACCTCATAATTCTCCTTTAAATAACACGGTTGGGGGATGCGGTGAACCTGCCTGTGAAAGGGCACATCTCTATAATGGCATGGAGACGAGAGGATATAAGGCAAATTGCCTTGCCTATGCGTTAAGACTGTGCCGCCTGGTGGAAATAGGCCCTTAACATGTTCTAGAGGTGAACAACTCAACAATAAATAAAATACAATGATTAAAAGTGTAAATGTTTGTTTTTTGTTTTTTAATTCTTTTTCTTCGTTTTTACTCATTTTCTTTCAATTTAACATTGGATAGCCAGCTCTAGAAATGCTGGGTGCTATACTCTAGCTCTGCCAGCAGGTGGCAGTATGACAGCCGAACACCGGCCTGAGAGCGCCTCAGGTTATTACTATCCCGTAGGCACCTCCCTCGCTCCCTCTCTGGTTGGACCGACCGGCGGGGCGTGTCCTGCTGTCAGATGGTCAATGACGGCTCGGCAACATGGCGCCGGGTGGGGAGGAGGAGAAAGCAACCGCTGCCGAGCAATATGCAGGTGGGTGTTTATTGTGACAAGCTGATCGTTGTCAGTGGTGACGGGGGGAGGCCGGGAGGGGCCTGAGTGTGTTTTATGACAATGACCCTACAAGACACCCAGCGAGTACAGTACACAGACTTGATAGGGGGTGCTTTGGGCAGGGGTAAGGATGAGAAGCAATAGGCAGATGTGTAGTTTGTGTACGATCTGATTGTGTGATGTGCACATGCTGTCTATGGATAGATAGATGGATGAACCTTTGAGAGACTTGTGAAGAAGATGTGGGAGCTGTCATAGGCTCCATGACAGATCTGCACTTTGTAGGAAAGTGACCAACCCTCCATAGTATAGGAATGTCTGATTCATCCTGTATAGAGATTGTGTGAGGTGTTGGGGGGTCTCCCTGTGCGATAAGTGTCCCTTCTGATGACCCGTACAGCAGCAGTCCCATTGCTGGAGGCCATGTATGATCTGATCATATCACTTGCTGTAAAGTGACACTTTACAGCAAGTGTGTGCACATTATTCACAGCTTTGCATTAGGGTGTGCTATAGCCCGTGGGGAATTGTTTTTAACACTGTCATGAAGGTGCCATTCAGACTGTGCGTGTTAGTGTGAACCTCCTTTAGACCTCATTGATAAGGGTGAATAAGGGCGGCTGGAGTGTAGCACTCTATGTACCATGACCGCATACATCAGGCTTAGGCAACCTCAGCACTCCATGCTTCAGCTTTTGGGAGTCATACCTGTGGCTGTCAGAGTCTTTTTAGTGCATCATGGGACTTGTAATTCCGCAAGAGTTGGAGTGCTAAGGTTGCCCACCCCTGGCATACAAACTGGGCAATTATATGAGTCCACTTAGCATGTGGTTGTGGCTATGGCCCACTGCCTGCTGTCAATCGGCAGCAGAGAAGCTGATGGGCAACTCCGTTTTCTGAATTCCCTCATCAGGCTCCGCCCACTGCTAACATCACTGGTCCTTAAGTATGCTTTTAGCTAGGGTTGCACAGATACCAAGTACAGTACTCGGTACATGTACAGATACTTTTGAACTCCAAGACTAGACTAGAGAAAAATTCAAAAGTTAGCAGGCAGCTGTCATTTGTAATGAGCACACGGAGCTCCTGGGATTTGTACATCTCTGTTATAATGTACGATTTTGTTTTTATAAATATAAATAAAGGGATGCACAGATACCAGTTTTGCGAGTACGAGTACTGATACTTGCCCAAGCACTTACAGATACAAGTACTGATACATTTTTGTTTATTGTCATGTGGCAGTTTTTCTAAAACAATACAGACTAATGATTTCAGGACAGTGGTGGAGCGCCAGAGCCAGGCCCCAGCTGCAACCTCTGCAACCCTGGTAGTTCTCATGGAAATGCCAAGTATCGGCACTGGTACTAGAAAAGTATCTGTGCATCCCTATTTTTAGCTTTAGCCAACAGTGTCATGTACGATTTTGTTTTTATAAATATAAATAAAGGGATGCACAGATACCAGTTTTGCGAGTACGAGTACTGATACTTGCCCAAGCACTTACAGATACAAGTACTGATACATTTTTGTTTATTGTCATGTGGCAGTTTTTCTAAAACAATACAGACTAATGATTTCAGGACAGTGGTGGAGCGCCAGAGCCAGGCCCCAGCTGCAACCTCTGCAACCCTGGTAGTTCTCATGGAAATGCCAAGTATCGGCACTGGTACTAGAAAAGTATCTGTGCATCCCTATTTTTAGCTTTAGCCAACAGTGTCCTTTACAACCAGTGACGACCACTGTCAGTGAAGTTGAGTGGGTGGAGCCTGATGGGGAACTCCATTCTCTGAATTCCCTATCAGGTCCGCTCTGCTTGCTGCAGATTGACAGCAAGCAGTGGACAGTTGCAATAGCCAGCCTGCTATTGGCTATGGCATCTGCCCACTACCAGCTGTCAATCAGCTGCAGAGTGGATCCGATGGGGAACTCAGTTTTCCAAATTCCCTCATAAAGCTCCGCCCACTGTCAACGTCACTGGACATTAAGGATGCTGTCGGCTTTAACCAGTGACAACCACTGTCAGTGACGTTGAGTTTGATGGGGAACTCCGTTCTCTGAATTCCCCCATCAGGTCCGCTCTGCTGCAGATTGACATCAGGCAGGTGGGTGGGAGCCATAGCCAGCCTGATATTGGCTATGGCACCTGCCACTGCTATCGGTTATTGCGGCAGCAGAACGCACCTGATGGGGAACTAAGTTCTCTGAATTCCCCATTAGGCTCCACCCACTCACCGTATAAATGCTCTGTCACTGCGCCTGTTTATGTGACAGGCCCAGTGGCTGGGCAGAGAGGTCAGTAATGCTCAGCCCTAGGATTTTATTGCTGGAACACCGGCTTCACAGGAAGCCAGGCGACGGGTTATGATCTGACTTCCTGATATTCGGGGCACAACTCACCGACACCGAGTACCGAAAAAAAAATTGGTACTCTCACTCTATACCTGAAAAAAACGGTATTGGTGCATCCCTAATTCCACTAACATGGAATCTTGGTGCTGGTGACATCTGTACTGGAGTTCTGTTGTGAGCGGCGCCATCCGCAGTCATTAAGAGCACCCGTTACTTTTTGGATATTCGGTAAGGAGTGCAGCAAGGTATATGGATACCGCTTTATTTAGTGCATATCTGGGGACCTGTGGCACACTGTCAACTTATGGGGGCATTGTTTATGTACAGAATGTATATCTGGGCATCTTATGGGGGCATCTTTTATGTACAGAATCTATATCTGGGGACCTGGGCACACTGGCATCTTATGGGGGCATCTTTTATGCGCAGAATGTATATCTGGGGACCTGTGGCACACTGGCATCTTATGGGGGCATCATTTATGTACAGAATACATATCTGGGCACCTATGGCACACTGGCATCTTATGGGGGCATTGTTTATGTACAGAATGTATATCTGGGCATCTTTTATGTACAGAATACATATCTGGAGACCTGTGGCACACTGGCATCTTATGGGGGCATCTTTTATGTACAGAATACATATCTGGGGACTGGTGGCACGCTGGCATCTTATGGGGGCATCTTTTATGCACAGGATGTATATCTGGGGATGTTTGGCACACTGGCATTTTATGGGGGCATCTTTTATGTACAGAATACATATCTGGAGACCTGTGCACACTGGCATCTTATGGGGGCATTGTTTATGTACAGAATGTATATCTGGGGACCGGTGGCACGCTGGCATCTTATGGGGGCATCTTTTATGCACAGAATGTATATCTGGGGATGTTTGGCACACTGGCATCTTATGGGGGCATTGTTTATGTACAGAATGTATATCTGGGGGTCTTGTGGCACACTGGCATCTTATGGGGCATCTTTTATGTACAGAATACATATGGTGCAGTCTAAAGAAATACGAGACCCAGTGATATCTCATTGCCTTGGGCTTGGAAATTATCCTGGGACTTGTAGTTTCCTAAGAGTGGAAGATGGCAGCTTGCTTACAGGTGACAAACTAACACAGTGTTTGCCTTCTGTGAAACTGTAAGAGGAAGTGAACATGGACATCAGTCAGCATACATTACCGCGGGGGTTATTCACTTAGCTCCCGAAGGCAGCCGAGTCAACAACCGAGCCGAGGTGAATTCAGCTGAACGCCCTTCGGCTATTCACTTCAGCCTTGTACTGCTGATTTCATTGGCTAAAATCAGCCATACATCGGCTGAGCCGAAGTGCAGAAGGAGTTCGACTCGGGCGATCCAACATCTTGCCGAAGATTCGGCAGCTCACTCGCTGCCGTGCGCGCCTATTCTCATAGGGGCTGAACGGCAGTAAATGAATAGCCAAATACCGCCGAGCAGCATTCAGCTCGGCTATTCTACTCGGCACCTCCGTGGTAGCGAGCAGAATAGAAAAAAAAAAAAGTTGAAAAATTATTTTAAAAATGTAAAACAAAACTGAAAATTAAAAAAATAAATAAAAACATTTTAAAGAAAATTAAGAAAAAAAAAAGATGTACGCCCGACTGCACACGGCAAACTCCCGCCACATAATGAAGCATCTGACAGATGCCGACAAAAGAAAAACCATTGGGCGGAGCTAGCGGTGACAGCTAGCTCCGCCCAACTGTTTCCTATTGGCCGGCACCTGCCAGAGTCTTCTAGCAGGTCCCGGCCAATGAATAACAACTAGGCAGAGCCGGCTGTGACATCACGGCCGACTCCACCCAGTTGTTATTGTTTAATGACAGATCAGCGTCCCCAGGTCATTTGGGGACACTGATCTGTCGTCATAACTGGGCAAAAGGAGCTGTGAGATCACGGCTGGCTCCGCCCAGCTGTCATTTGCAGTACCTGACAAATGGTCCAACATTCCCATAGACACTCCTAAACCTTGTGGGCGCCTTCCCAGAAGAGTTGAAGCTCTTATAGCGACAAAGGGCGGAGCCAACTCAATATTGAACCTTACAGACTAAGACTGGGATTCCATTAAAGTTCATGTGCGTGTAAAGGCCGGCGTCCCAATACTTTTGGCAATATAGTGTATGTTGGTGTTGATTATTACCCTCTACGCTATCCTTAGACGACCCAACCATCAATAACCGGCCATTTGCGGTCACCTTTTATAGAGCCAGCTAAAATTATCTGAGTTGAGCAATGACGAGTTCCATGGATGTATTATTGTTATCAGTAAATCTCTGCTTGTTTATCAGGTATGCCTGGCCTCCCGTGTGTACATGTGCAGAATGTATGCATAGTGCGGTGACAAATCACTACCGTATCCTGCTCAGCCCTACATCCGGCTGGTCCATATATACAAGCTACCGTGTGTCATTATTGGTGAGGCAGCCGGGATGGCTGGTAACTGGTTCTCCTCTGAAGTACAGATAACGAAAGCAGCTTATGCAAATGCATGGATCCTGTAGGTGTTGGAACGCGACAATATATGAGGTGATGATACTCATAGCATAGTTATACAATAATTGTATTGCCATTAACCACTTGCTGTCCAGAGCAT